CCCCCCCCCCCCCCCCCCCCCCTAGAGCTCGAAGGTCTTTAGAGGGTGAACTCAGGCCGAAGAAGGTTCGTGTTGCATTGGTATTTTGAGTTGTTATTTCTCGAACAGCGTGAAGGGCGCTGGTTGGCCAGGACACATTTGCGCGCCTGACCACCGTAGAAAGGTATTCTCGGGAATTCCAGCTATGTCACCGTCAAAGGTTAAGCGTGGGGGTCACTGCGGTATAAAATATGTGATGATCGGTGAGTAATTGCGTTCATTGTCAGTGGGGGAACAAATTTGGGGTTTCTTGCGTGAAGCAGCTTGTAGCGCGAAGTCGTGGCGTTTTCTACGCGTGGTCCAAAGCGGTGGACCTTCTCCTTTCGCCCTAATTATCGTGCCATGACAATTCGATGTCACTTACGAAAGGAAGGTTGTCTTTCTCTTTTTTTTGGGGGGGGGTTGTTTTCCGTGCGCGCGAGTTGCCAGCCGAGAGTGGGGCATCTTATCGATTTCCGGTCGCTGCGAAATGTGTGAAGCTTCTCCCCTCTTGCTAATTTATTTGTCTTGCCATGATCGATCGATGCGATCGCATGTATGTTTCGGTCTCACTAGGCAAGGCGTTGTTGCACAGATTGGATTGCCGCTTCTACTCGAAAAGAGTGGCTTATGATGTTGGTCTTTTTGGCGGGAATATGAGCAATGATCACGAGGCACGTTCACATGGCGTGATCAAGCACTGCAGAAGTCAGCGCAAGCTCTCCTACCCTCACCGAAAATTGGCCTGGATCAGGCTATTCGGGAGTTGTTGGCTGTTGGCTGACCGGTTGGCATTGAGGGCCGCGCGTGACTGACTGTAGTCGATGTTTTTCGGTTGGCTGTCCGAGTTGCGGATTGTGCGAGGCGTTTCGAACCAGGTGCGTTGGCGGAGATTCTTCTTTTCGTTCTACTCCGTTGGTTCGTTGTTGCTGTTTTGGAAAACACCCCCGAGGAATGCTATGCATACAAGTCTGCCTCGCAACTTGGGTTTTTTCGATGAACGGAAAGCACGCCTTGCACCTACCTACCGCACATCTAGCTTGTACCATCTATTTGGTACAGCTGTAGGGGGCCCTGTGTAGTGACGGATCTCGGTATTGTGCCGATCAAACCTCTGGGCACGAGCGTCCACTCCTAGCCTGTACTGGATGGCGCCCGGGATAGTTCCGGTGAGCTATTTGGGCACATGCCGCCAATTGTCAGGTGGCCTCTAGTGCTGTACGTGTGGTCCGACATATTTTAGAAAATCTACCTAAAAGAACACAGAACGACTGCCCTTTCGTTGTAGAGGTAACCGCAGGTAGGTCCGACATGTTGTGCCTTTTCGGGTGCGATGGGTGTGATGCTTCTCTTAACCATGTCAATGGTGTTGGTCTGGTCTGGTGGCAGCTTTTCCTTTTCTGGTGCGATGGGTATGATGTTCCTCTTCACCAAGTGGTCTTGATCTGGTGTGTGGCAGGTGGCGGACGTCCCGAAGGAGACGGAGTTCGAAGGGATTTGCAACCTCGTGGAGGCGGCGTCGCGGTACTCGGACATAAAGGGCAAGACGCTCTTCGCGTGTCTACCGTCCTTCCAGGAGGAGTGGCGACAGTGGGGGGCCCTTGACGACGTGGTGAGCGCGCGGGGGGGG